GTATAGTTTTGGTTTGGTTTTTAATTTAAAGTAAATATGCTTGGGGCGCCTGGGTGGCGCAGTCGGTTAAGCGTCCGACTTCGGCCAGGTCACGATCTCGCGGTCCATGAGTTCGAGCCCCGCGTCAGGCTCTGGGCTGATGGCTCGGAGCCTGGAGCCTGTTTCCGATTCTGTGTCTCCCTCTCTCTCTGCCCCTCCTCCGTTCATGCTCTGTCTCTCTCTGTCCCAAAAATAAATAAACGTTGAAAAAAAAATTTTTTTTAAATAAATAAAGTAAATATGCTTTCTGTCTTTTTTTGTCGTTCAAGATTTGCGTCAATATCAAATATGATGCAATATCATGAACAGGTCATTTTAGCGTAAGCCTAGATTTAGGTACCTGAGCAGCCCGGATTAAGTAGCCCAGGAGCTAAATGGGAAGCTGTGAGGAGGTCCGTACAGGTCCATACAGACCAATTAAAATAGCTTGTATGTAGCATGTTGGACCAAGCTGACCATGGACCAGGCCCAGTCCGGACATCTGCTCACCCCACGTCTTCTCCTTGCACAGGCCTTCCTAACAGCCATTGGTGATAAGAACCGCAGGGCCGTGCTTGCCCTGGAGCACATGTTTGCACCTGTCCTGGACGGCGCTGTCTCCACTCTGCTGGGAGTGCTCATGCTGGCAGGATCTGAGTTTGATTTCATTGTCAGGTAAGCAGAAGGGGAGAGAATCCTTATTTTCAAGAATTGTTACCACTGTTAGGATCTCTGTTGCTTACTTCCTTGTGTGTCCGGTAGACAGCAGCATGTCTTCATTGTGACTCTACTCTCCTTCCCCCTAGACTGATGGAGGTATAACTGACAAATCAGAATCGTAGTGTCTAAGGTATACAGCATGATGTTTTGATATGCCAACCAGTACATTGTGAAATGATTACCACAGTCTGTGACTCCACTTTCTCTTGCATTTATTAACTCAGAGATATGCTGAGAGGTATAAGGAAAAGGTCTTTTTTAGAGGCCTTTTAGGGAACATCTTGGGGAGAAGAGACGGAGAGTCTGTGGCCAGCAGCAAAGACAGCTCCACAGCTTGAAACCAGAGGGCCACCCAGCACCCCGGTGTTGACCTGGGTTCCCCTCAACTGCCCAATTTTGACCTTGACTTCTCTTCCGAAACTATAGAAAACTTAAAAATACCTGAAATTGTCACCTACATTTTATTCTTTCAGGAAGCAAAGGTGGCATGCCCAGATTTCACATTCAAGTTCTCACTAAGATTTAGGGAGTCTTGGGTATGTGACTCTGGTGCCATGTGTTTGAAATCCAGGCCTAGTTTGGATACTTCTCCTTGGAACCCAAGGCAGGCAGTTTCTGGTAGATTTATGAAGAATGCGAGTTTGTGAGGTAGAAAAGGAGGGCCAAGGTTTCCTTCTGAAAAAAACTTGACAACTGCAGGGAAAGACCATTTTCTTGTCTGAAGAGCCTCCACAGCATCGTAAAGTAGCTACTCTTGGATGTGACAGTGCTGCTCTGTGGAGGGACAAGGCCAGAATCATCAATAAGTGAAAGGCCAAAATTAGAACCGTGGTAAAGCAGAACCAAATGTGAGACATGACTGCATTGTTTGGGATGCTTCAAATAATCTGGAGAGAGAATAGAAAAAGGCTTTCTTGGTGTGCATGCCTGTAATAGGTCTTTGATTTTCAAGTAAAAAGAAGAGGGTTTAAAGTTTCAGCCCAAGTTCCCTTATTACAGAAAAAAGATCTATCCATTGGTCTGTGGCATACCCCATAACCCGTTGGGCAGTTCGGCAACAGAGAGTTAGCCTTCCTTGAAGGAGTGCCGGAGTTTACTGTGTGTAGTTTAGTACAGGGTAAATGAAGAGGTAAAATAGCTCTTGCATCGTGGACCAGTACTTCTCACACCACAGAGTGCTTATGAATCATCCAAGGCTCTCTGCAAATGCAGGTCGGATTGCACTGGGTGCAGGGAGCGTGTAGAGTGGGAATGGCATTTCCAGCCAGCTCCCAGGTGATAACCCAGGCTGCCAGTCTTCTCTGCACACACTGTTAATCACCTAACAAGCCAATTAGTACATTCTTGTTTGCCAATACCAGGTAGATAGATGTATGCCTAAATTAGATCAAGGTTTTGGCCTGAGTTTTATTTTCAGCTCTTAACTTCACTTTGGCTTTTCCTTTATTTCCTTAGCACACACATATTCAGGCATTAGTCGATGTTTCTTTATGGTATAAAACCCCTGTGTCAAGCAGAGTTTCTTCTGTGTTTTTCCTCACTCGACACAATGCAGTTACAAGCACCTCAGTGCCATTTTACACAACGAATAATGTGGACCCCGACGGCCTCCATGTAGCTTACAGTCTCTGGGGGGAGAGAGTTCATGACACTTCAGAACCATGGGAAACACTGAGTGTGATGGGGTCTCAGAGGATCTAACTCAGCCCTGTGGGGACACTAAGTGAGACACAGAGGGGAAACGTAGCCAGAATTAGAGCAACCAGCTGGGAACCACGATGGAGGGCAGAATCCCAGCTCTCATCCAACCCATAGCTTCCTGTTCTCTCCCAGAGATATCAGGGTTCTTGTTTCAAGCACTTAAAAGGACTTCCCATTTTCTAGAACTGGATGGATTAACCTGATAAAGCCCTCACTGCGGTCAACTAAATGAGCAGACATTGTATACGCTAAGCCGTCAGAAATCTAATTGGTCTGTTTATTCTACAGTTAGATGGATGGGATGCAAATGTCTTAATGCCTGCTGCTGATATATGCTTCAGCCTAAAGTTCCAGCAGTTTACATTAGAGCAAGACATTGGCGGCTTGGTTTTTACTAATGCAGTTCAGAAGTTTCTAGTGTTTACAATAGCTGCAAGGTATTTGTGTTTTTATAGGGAATCTCTCTCCTTTCATCTAATGTCGAAACATATATAGTCATGGCAAAGTTTGGTGCCTGTTCTGTTTTATGATCAAGAGGACCCTTAACAGATAGATATCTTGCCCTCCCTCTTCCCAGAACATCCTGAGCTCTCCGCCCCTCACTGCAGCCCCTCCTTGCAGCAAAATCGCCCTACACTCAGTTCCAGAAATGCACGTTTGCGTGGAGCCCACTCCCTCCAGCTGTGTGGAGTGTCCTCCAGCAGCTCTCCCGGGCTGACAGGTTTACCTTGGTATTCATGAAGGATCCCAGACCTTAGCCCTCAATGGTGGGAAAGCAGGGCCACTTGCGCACTCTCCCCTTCTTCATGGTGCTGCGGCCTTTATGTTTGAATTGGCTGACGCAAAACAAGAGTATTCAGAGATGCTAAATTGTTCAACAAAAGCTTGGCCCGCAGAGCAGCCCCCTCATTGTGGACCGCCCTCCCCCACACAGAATGGGCAGCGTTTTCTCTGCAGAAAGCTGGTTCTTGTGTTCTAAAAAGGTTGCAATTGGAGCTGTTTGGTAAAACTGGAACTCACAGAATTCTAGGCAGAAAGTTGTGATTAATGAAAGCCCAGGGAAAGCCTTACCTGATACGCTAGAGACTTAATTAGAGATTCTGCTCTAAGATGCTGAAGCATTTCACAGTGGATTAGCTGCCTGCAGAAGTGGGCTGCTTTTCCTCCTGAGCTAAATTGTTTAAATTCTACACCCTTCACTTCATTTGTTTGCTTCTGCTGGGTTTTCACGGACGGGGCCCCTCTGCATTGTATTTGTGCTTCCAATCTGCTCAGCCATTCAGCTCACATTCCATATTTTTGTGTTTGTGTAACACATTCATAAATAACATTACATGCCAGGAGATTTCAGCAAATTAACAAACTAATTTTTCTCTCTTCCCTTCACGAACTAACACTTTGGGTTGTGGAATGTAGTCCTCGAGAGTCACAAGGTAAAAAGAGAAAAAAAACTAATGTCGTGCTGAACCACAGTCTTTTAAACTGTGTGGGTTTTGTTAATTTGGGGTTTTGATGCGCTGTGTAATATTTGGGCACGTGAAGGCTTGCTGCTCTTACTTTTGCCACAGTGAATGTTCCTGTGTCCCTTTTATCTTCAAGGTATTTCTTTGCTGTCCTGGCAATCCTAACAATCCTGGGTGTTCTCAATGGACTGGTTTTGCTTCCAGTCCTGCTGTCCTTCTTTGGACCGTATCCCGAGGTCAGTAATTATGCCGGGCTGTAATGGACAGTCCCCAGGCCACCTGAATGCTGTTTTTCCTTGTGTCACTGTTCGTTTAGATCTTTAGGCAGACCCACATTGCCGATTGTTTACTTTTTCAACATATTTCAATAATTATGAAGTTTTTCATAGAAAAACTATGGCTTTTTTCCTCTTCAATTTAATAGTTTGGGAGATGCAGGACTAGTTTTGTTTGGGTTTTTTAAACCAACTGGCGGCCTGAGTCGTGTAGTTCGGTATCAGTGAAGCATTTTCCACTCAAGATGAATATCTGGGCTTGAATCGAAGGAAGAGGGTCACAGCCTGCCTTTCCAAAGTGTAAAAGCAGAGGGCAGCTCTTTTGCTCCAGCTGTCAGGCCTGATGGTCCTCGAGGTGGCAGAGTGGGGGAGGGGATAGCGGGAGAGGCTGGGGCAGTCGGGGGATGGGTGCAGAGACCCCTGAACAAATACTGTGCTTTGCACTTTAACTGTGACCAGCAGGTAAATGGATGATCACACTTTTAACATGGAATCTCCTTCAATAGGTGTCTCCAGCCAATGGGCTGAACCGACTGCCCACCCCTTCCCCCGAGCCGCCCCCCAGTGTGGTCCGGTTTGCCGTGCCCCCTGGTCATGCAAACAATGGGTCCGATTCCTCTGACTCAGAGTACAGTTCTCAGACGACAGTGTCGGGCATCAGCGAAGAGCTTCGGCACTACGAGGCCCAGCAGGGCACCAGGGGCCCTGCCCACCAAGTGATCGTGGAAGCCACAGAAAACCCTGTGTTTGCCCGCTCTACAGTAAGTCACCCTAGAGGCCAGCCCCTGCCTCCTCTATGCAGCAAATCCCAGACAGATAGGATTTAAAAATAAAGTATAGGTTAGGTAGAATCCTATGAAATTGCCAATCTTTGACTCCAACTATAAAAACATGAGTTGCGTGTGGTTCTCTCTCATATAGATTGAAAAGGGCAGGGGCCAGTAACAGTAGCTACAAAAAGCATTGGTATGTGTCTTGTTTGGGCTAAGTATAATTTGAGTTTAAGGGCCAGAGGTAAAGCATGCTTTGCTTTTTTTTTTTTTTTTTTTTAAGCCGTATATCATTTTAGAATAATACTTTTTGTTTTTAATGTAGTGGTATTTTTATTGCCAACAGAATGATTTTTTTTTTCCTCTCACTTCTGTTACTTTTAATTGCCCTTGGTACAAAATTATTTCAAGTATTAATGTCCAAGATTTTACCAGAAGGAGCTGGAGGGAGCAGAGAAGCTTAGCCTTCAGTAATTCAGGACAGCCATAAGCAGCCTGGGAGCCCCTTCTTGGAGGCTCTGAGAGCCGCAGCCATGCTCCCTAGGATGTCCTTAGCCCCCCAGGCCTAGAGCACAGCACACAAAACCCGAGGAAGGTTCTAAGGCGCGTGCTGCTCCAACTCAGGGCCTCCTGCTGTCCCTCCAGGAAATGGGTATTCCAGTCCCAGGCCAGAGCAGCCCTTCCATGAAAGAGAGAGAGGCCAACCAAATAACCTAAATTTTCCTCCTCTTACCCCCCGTGACGATGCCTGCTGAGCTGCAGTGTGAATCTGGTTTTGTTCAGCGGGAGCCTAAAAATAGGTACAAGCTGAACGACTTTGAAGTTGGTCACGGTCCTTTTGATTGATGTGGCCACTGTGTTGCTCCATGCTTTGTATAGAGACCCAGAAACCAGATTCCTAACAACCGGACAGAGCAGCACTGCCCCATGGAACTTTCTGCGATGATGGAAACGCTCCCTCTGTGCTTGCCAGTATAGTAGCCACTCACCACATGTGGCTGTTGAGCACTTGAGATGTGGCTAGTGCCACGAAGGGACTGAATTTGGAATTGTTGTTAATTTAAATGCAAATAGGCATATGCTCCTAATGGCTACCGCCCTCAACAGCATAGGTATAGACAGTCCTGCTGACGTGCTGCATTTACGCGAGCCGGAGCCAGATGCTCAGCAGTTCACAAAGAGGACGAGCTTGGGATCTGACTGTGCGGCACAGGGTGGAGTGGCAAACTGAGAGGGGGGCAGCCCGGGTGCTCTCCGACCACAGCCCTGCATTTATGGGCAGCAGCTGTATGTGTCTGGCCAGCTGTGCTACAGAAAGCCTAGACATAGGGTCCAAATAAGGCCTCTGCCACGTCGTGGAGGTTCTAAAAGAACAAGTTTTTCTTTTGTGGGTGGAAGGCCCAGTTGGCTCCCGGGGGCCTCTCCCAGCCGTTTGTGGGGCTGACTGAGCACTTGGTGAAGAGCTGTGTGTGGGTGGCCGGCGGGAACCGAAGCCAAGAAGGGAAGGCTGGGAGTGGCGGGGGGCGATGCCCCGCCTGGGGTTAGCACCCCGCCTGTTTTAACCTGCCCTCGCCCTCTGCAGGTGGTCCATCCCGAAGCAAGACATCACCCACCCTCAAACCCTCGACAGCAGCCCCACCTGGACTCAGAGTCCCTGCCTCCAGGACGGTCAGGCCAGCAGCCCCGGAGAGAACCCCCCAGAGAAGGCTCACGGCCACCCCCCTACAGACCGCGCAGAGACGCTTTTGAAATTTCTACTGACGGGCATTCTGGCCCTAGCAATAGGGACCGTGCGGGCCCCCGGGGAGCCCGTTCTAACAACCCTCGGCACCCAGCATTCACTGCCATGGGTAGCTCTGCGCCCAGCTACTGCCAGCCCATCACCACTGTGACGGCCTCGGCGTCCGTGACTGTTGCCGTGCACCCGCCGCCTGCCCCCGGGCCCGGGTCCGGTCGGAACCCCCGAGGGGGTCTCTGCCCGGGCTACGGGGACTACTCTGAGACTGACCACGGGCTGTTTGAGGACCCCCATGTGCCTTTTAACGTCCGGTGCGAGAGGAGGGATTCCAAGGTGGAAGTCATAGAGCTGCAGGACGTGGAATGTGAGGAGAGGCCCCGGGGCAGGAGCTCCAACTGAGGTATGTGCGGCTGGTGGGTGGGCCTCAGCAGCAATGGAGGGGCACCCAGGGGCACGGAGGGCAGAGCTCCCTGGGAGTTCTTTAGGCTGCATCCTTGGGGAGCCCCTGGGCATTGGTATGTCCCACACTGAGCCCCAGTGACCTCTCATCTCCCTGGCAAGGATGCCATGTCCAAGCTTTGCCATCCTCGGGGAACCCATGGAGCCCCAAACTGGGTGTCACACCTCGCTGCTCACCTGTTGAGGGTTAGTGCAAGTTAACAAAGACGCTAACAGCTGCACCTTTCACCTGGTTTTCAGGCTTTATAAAGCCCCAACGCAGATATGTATGCCACACATAACAGCTCGATGCGTCGGTTACATAGTGAACACATCCGTGTCGCCAGGCCCCAGATCAGCCTCTCATGCCCTCCACCCAGCACCCCCAGCCTGAGTTCTAATACCAGTGAGCAGTTTGCCTACTTCTGTGCTTTCTGAATATACAGACTCGTATACCTATTGCTTAGTTTGACTTCCTTTTTTTTCTTTCAAAGGGTGAGTAAAATCTGAAGCAAAGAGGCCAAAGATTGGAAGCCCCCCCAACCCCCCCCCCGAACTGCTTGAAGAAAACTGCTAAGAGTTATACAGATGTGCGCACCAGGAGAGCAGTTCAATGTTACTGTAACCGACTGTATTATTTTGTGAAATAGTTCTATAAATATTTAAGAGGTGTACACATATGTAATATACGAAGGAACCGATGTAAAGTAGTGCGATCCGGGCTCTCTCCACTCCTACCCCCCGAGTGGGCGGTGGGGAGGCCACAGCGGGGCCCCTCCTGATTTGTACATTGGTCTCTGTGCCACAACCAAGCTTAACTTAGTCTTAAATTTCAGCATATGTTGCTGCTGCTTAAATATTGTATAATTTACCTGTATAATTCTATGCAAATATTGCTTATGAAATAGGATTATTTTGTAAAGGTTTCTGTTTAAAATATTTTAAATTTGCATATCACAACCCTGTGGTAGTATGAAATGTTACTGTTAACTTTCAAACACGCTATGCGTGATAATTTTGTTGTTTAATGAGCAGATATGAAGAAAGTACGTTAACCCCGGTGGCTTCTCCAGGTGTAGTTGGATGCGATTCTGTTTGGCTGTGCGTGTGAACACGTGTGTGGTTTCCCGATGTACTGTACTGTGATTTTTTTTTTCTTTTTTTGTTTCTTTTTACTGTCTATAACCCATCGTGGGCTCCGCCCTAGTTAGGCTGGAAGAGTCAGGATATCTTTATTGCTTGGTGCTGGTGGAAAGCTAGCCCTGAATGTCGCCTTATCCCTCTGCCCGACTTGCTTCAGGTACAGGGCGTCTCTTACGATCATTGGCTGCTATCCAGACACTCCTAGTTCATGCCTCAGAGGAGATGGGCTCCGCTGTGTGGGTCATTGTAGTGGACGTTGGAACCTCAGGGTTTAGAGCTAACATCTGTTCATCTTCATTGGTGTTAAAGAGTTCTAGAACGTGCTTAGTGGTGAGCCTCACCTGAGCCATGAATGTTACTCTAGAGTAGGCAGCATCATTGTACCTCTCGTGACACACACACACACACACACACACACACACACACGCCCACACACCCTCAAACGTTCAAGAGCAGATTGGAAATCTTTTGGAGACAATGATCCTGCTATGAGTGGAAAAACCTGTTGATTCTGGGTCCACAATAAACCTGGAGGTGATGTTTTGAGTTCCTACAATTTAAACTCCCCTCTTCCTAAATTGCACAGTTGGTGGGGCTTTCTAGATCTCTTTGTATCTTCTTTAAAAATAAGTAGTGAGCATCCAGTGTGGTGGTATGGAGTCGGAAGTTCTACAGGATGAGAGCTTCAGAAGGATCCTTCTCAGTGCGTTAATGTTAACATTATGAGTACACGCTTCCTAAATAAACTGTGTCCCTCCTCTCAACCTTATTAGTGTTCTTTCAATGTGACATTGATCGAAGAGCAGGGAGATGTTAATTGCATACACCCCACTGAAGAATGTATACGGAGGCAGATCTGTCAACCAGGCATTATTTTTAAAGATTTGCTTCTGTATCGATTCTGTTGTCTTGCTTTGAGGTTTGGTCTTCCTCAGCTCTTAGCCAGAGACCAGCAACTGTCGGGGAAGCAGTGGATACCCGGACTAAGCTACTGTAGGAGCACAAAAATGGCAGCTTCCATTGTGCCCTCCTGTTTTACACGGAAAATCTCAGTCAAAAGTCAATGGGCTCCCAGTAGTACCGAGCAGTATAGTGACCTCAGACCCTAAAACTTGCCACAAAACTGTAAGATACTAATTGTAAGCCACCTGTGGCCACCAGGTGTGTGTGTTAATGTGCCAGGGGCCCCGACGGGCCCACATCTACTGTTTGGTGCCTCTGTCAGCCACACTGTCTGTCCACCTAATAGCCAGCTCTGCTCAGAAAACTTACGTCCTGCGTTCAGGAGAGAGATGATGCAAAATTCTGAGGTCTGCTTCCCTCTGGCTCGTGGCATGCCCTCCTCGCTCCTTTCCTGAGCCCAGCTTGTGTGGCGCATGACAGTTTGCACAGCCCTGCTTTCTGCACAGTGTAGAACTTTCTCCCGTAGTCACATTGGCAAAGGGAGAACTCGGGGGTTGTCAGGCAACTAGAATTTCTCTCTCTCTCTCTCTCTCTCTCTCTTTAAAATAGTTTTATTTTGTCTGTCTTGTTTGTTCATTTGGATGTTTTAATTTTTTTAAAATCTTTGCTGATATTTATAATTTTGTATCATAAGAATGTTTTCCTACAGTATTTGTCATGCCAGTTTATAACAAAAAATGCAGGGATTTTATTTCTATTGGAAACACTATTACAGCTATGTTTTACTTTTGAACAGAATTTTTATTTGTATAGAGTGCTTACTAATGTTAAATAGTTCAGAGTATATAACATCTTCATTAAAGACTCATGGTAGGTTTTAGTGTAAGGAGTTTAAAGGAAATAAATATTCAAACTGGGTCTCATTGTCTGCCAATTTTGGCAGAAATGGGTTTGTGTCATTTCAATTACAAAGATAAAAGTATGCCATATAATTTATTTATATGAAAATTTATTTTTGTAGTGTACATAGTAGTCATCAAGTCTTTTGACAGAAGTATATTTTTAAAGAATTTATATGTGATGAATCCATGATGTCTGGAACTTTGCTGAGACATGAGTGGGGCACGCTTTTCATTGTAAAGTACAGCAAGGAAAAGAAAATGCTTAACAGTGTTAAGAGAGTGAGATGGAGTAAATATTCATGCAATTGTGAAATGTGTATTAGTTACCATTTGTGACCTAGTGTGGTTCTCATTTTAAACCTTGGAAGGCAAAAATGTACAAACTCTCTAAATATTAATGTTCAAACACTGATAGAAATTCTAACATGAATAAAAAATAATATAACTTGTTGGTTATGTCTTTGTTCATGGAATGTTTTTTATTACAGTGTTTTATGTAGGCAGCACGTCAGGCCATCATAAACTTTGTTGATTTGTCTTAGTAACATTGCTAAAGAATCCTTTCTTGTTCTACCTCATGGAGGCATTGTTGATATACGAAAAGTTCTAGGTTTTTATTTTCTGACACCGAGAAAGTTCCTCAATTACAATTCAAAGGGATCCCCTCCTCATCACTTAACATCTTTGTATGTGATGCCTAATAATTAGAGGGAACATTTATAAAGATAAATTTGATGACTATTAAAATAAATGGAGGTGCCATACTTAAATAGGAGGGCTGATGATACGGGGCTAATTGAACCTGATCTAGAATGTTTTCTTCTGAATGTTTATATGATTACATCCCATCTTTACTAGAGCCATGGAGAAAAATAAGACCAGGAATATCATAGCGATCTGAAAGCAAAGAGCGGTGGGGAAGAACTCAAGACCCAAACTGTTACAAACACATGGTGAGAGGTCGGCAAACTGCAGTCCATGGGCCTCCTCCTGTTTTTGTAAAAATTTATTAGAAGACAGACACACCCATTGACGTGCAGATTGTCTGCCTATGGCCTCTTTCCAGCTACAGTAGCAGAGTTGAGTAGTTGTGACACAGTGTACAGCCTACAAAGCCTAAAATAATTTACCGAGTGGCCCTTGGGAAAGAGTTTGCCGATCCATTTTAAGATAGGGTCATCCTAGGCTGATGATACTCAAGAGGGGCTCATGGATCGGCAGCACTGGAGTGTCTTGGAAGTTTTCTAGAAAAGCAGAACTTTCACTGCCACCCCAGACCTACTGAGTCCTGGGAGTGAGGCCAGGAATTGTGCTTTAACCAGCTGTCCATAGTTCTGATGAACGAGCAGAGGCAATCCCTAAATTCCTTCCAGCTGAATGTGACCATGGTTCTATTCGACTCAGGCTACACAATCAATGCAGGCCAGATCGGAAAACAGCATAGACATCCCAACTCCTCTGGGTGGTCTTTCCACAAAAACGCATGTTCATCCCCGGGAAACAGTGGAGGAGACCTGTCAACTGCATTTGTGTCTGGGAGGCCAGAGAGAGGAATTCCTTTTTGGTGCTCTACTACTGCTGTGGGGCAGGACGGACCTCAGTGGAGGGTGTAGGCCTCAGACCCTCATCCACCCTTCCTGCTGAGAGGGTTACGGGTGACCAACTCTGACTTGGGCAATTCTCTTGAAACCCTGGAGCTTCTTTTTCCTCATCCGTATATAAACTAAAGATAACACATATCCTTTACAGACATCTGAAGGTCAAAAGCTGTGATGGTTGTGATGAGGTCTGGCCCAGAGGGGACAGTAAGAGTCAACTGAAAGAATTGGAACCTCTGTGGACCCTACACTGAATAAGATGCTTGGGTAATACAATGTCTTCCTTGATAGATGCTTTATCTTAAAAAAAAAAAAAAAGTCAAAGTGTTAAGCAGGATTTTCTATCTTATAACCTCATCTTCCTACCATGGGTCTAATCAGCAATCTGTTCCTAAAGCCCTTCAGTGGTAAATTT